AAATGCACGGCCGTTACTCCCCAGGTCTATAGACATATAGCTACCGCCCCCACCATTCTGGTGAGCTAAGGTTCACCCCGAATGTTTACAATCGTAGAGCCGGGTCGAATTAGTAACGGCTATTAGGGGAAGATAATTTAGCTTTTAAACTATTTGAAACTTAGGGGAGGTAAGAAGTTCTGCCTGATCTTCTCATTGTCGTCCTTAAACTGTCGTCACGGACGGCTGCTTTCATGGTGGTGGGGGGGGGGGGGGGGGGGGGGAAATGGAAGGGAGGTAGTATCGAATTCACTAACTATGAAAGTACTGAAAAGTAGAAAATAAAACAACTAAATAGCGGTGTATGCTTCTTCGGGAGTCAGATCTAATGCATTATAAATGTGCACTTGTAAAGAGTATTTTTTTTCTCTTCACCTCACTTCTTTTAATAAAAAATAATATACGAGCCGACCCGCGGAGTATCATACGCCGCTATTTAGTTGTTTTATTTTCTACTTTTCAGTAATTCATAATTTGTGAATTCGACAGTACCAATGCTGCCACTGAAAATATTTGCTTTAAAACACTAACCCCCCCCCCCCTCTTTCCCCTAACCCCGAACCTACACCCCCCCCCCCCCCCCCCGTAAAAGCAGCCTCAACTTAGTTATTTCTTAGTTACCTCCTCTAAGTTTAAAATCGAACTAAATTATCTGCCCCTAATAGTAACCCGGCTCTACGGCTCTACGATTTGTAAACATTTAGCTTTGTAAACATTTAGCGTGACAACAGCTCACCAGACAATGTGGGGGTGGGGTGGTGGTGGTAGTGATAGTGATAGAGAGAAAGAGAGGGGACTGCAAGGAGGCGCTTGCAGCTTGTTTTCTAACGGCTCCCAGAAGAGAATTATATATATTGATAGTTGATTATTAAAACTTCGAATAGTCTATAGACCGTAGTTAATCAAAATTTATTTTATAATAAGTGCATATGTACAAAATGTTGCAAGTGTTAAAAAGTAAGTTGTGTTGTCAAGATTCAAACCGTTAGGGAGGCTATGAAAAGACAAGACAAGCACATTAACTAAAGAGAGTATTGGATATATGTCAATCATAACATAGTAGATTTTAATTGAAGGGTCTTTTCAATCAATACATTCATATTGTGGTCTAAAACAATGTTGAAGTGGTTTAAGTAGTACATAAATAATATATTACAACTGTTATACATACATTTGGCGATGGCCTGGTTGCTTGCCAAACCTGTTTGAAATTCCAGGCATTATGCCCCCTCCTTCACCCTCTTCACAGACAGAGCTATCCTTATGTGTGCATGCACCTTACGATGCAGATCTACCTGGTTAATAAGCAAAGGCTTGAGTAGGTATTAGCCTTATGAGAGAGACACAGAGAGTGGAAGAAAGGCGTACAGGAATGGTATTAAAGTTTATCTTTGCCTTTTTAGAGTAGGTCACAACGGTGATTGAACAAATTATTTCAATCATGCAGTTCATGAAATTTGAATTGTATAATTTTATAAGCTTTAAAAAACACTTAAGTTCAAAGTGTTAACAACACACACAATTTCTGGTAAGGATCTACAGAAAATAAGCTCCTAGATGTTTAGCTCCTGACCTAAATTAAGGTCATGTGTATCATTACGCATCCGACCCAGCACTGAGTAAACTTTTCTCTTACGTTTCAGTTTTAACCCAAAAAATGTGTATTTTTCTTCAGCATTATTTTTTCTATTAGCCTACATTAAGCTGCTACCGCACATAACTCCTCGTTATAAACTCTTAAAACACACTACGTTCTTCGAATAGTATTTGCGCAGTACGCAAACTCAGAAGGAGCTTATAAGCAAATAAGGGTATATAATTCCTCTTTTTAAAAGTTTAAAGCCATATTGTCTATGACTTACGGGAATCAAATAGACTAGGGTTTTTTTTAAGCCTGGAATTTCCCAGTCTGAATTAGATCTGGAAATTCCTAGCAATTTTTTACGTCAATTTGGTGTTACAGGAAATATTTTACTCTAAAAACATCAGAATAGACTTCAAAACAGCTTAAAGTCTTAAAACTCAAATCAAAATCGATAAAAAAATTGACAAAAAATAACCGCTAATAAACTATCTTTTTTAAACCGCATAAATACAATGGATAAATTAGCCGTCACACAAATTAAGGGACACACATACCTAGCAACTTAGCTGATTAACATTTTTGTTATATTAATGGGTTTTAAATCGTCCGCTCGATCGCTATCTCTATTTGTATCCTGCTGCTCTACTTTCCTACTTTATAAAGGGATGTAACCGTATACAAATGTAAACTCCTTTCTCCCCATTATTCTATCAATAAACGAAAATGATGAAACAAACTTTTTAATAAACGAAACCTTCAGTATATTGTATACTAGTTCGATCAAAAAATATTCCTTCATAACTGAAAGTAAACAATTTTAATATAACTGTGTAAGTAAAAAAAAATGACTAAAATCAATCATCGATTTAACTAACTGTAAAATTTGCCTTTGTGCCCTGACTGACAGTGTGACAACGTGCGATATTTTTAGAGTCAAGTATTGTTTATTTTTTAATAGCTCAAGACATAATTCTTTTTCAACGACTATTGAATAATTCGAGATAGAAACCAATTATTTCCACATAGATGAAACGTTGCGTTTTTTGTTGTGCGATTGTGTGGTTTGAATATGAGTCTGGGTGTGAGTGTATGAGTGTGAATGAGTGTGGGTGTGAATGTGACTATGAGTATCATTTTTAGTAAGTATGAGTGTGAGTATGTGAGTATGAGTGTGAGTGTGAACGTGGACGTGAGCATCTGCACAAGCACGAGCACGAGAATGAGTATGATTATGAGTGTGACTGTTAGTGTGTGTGTGTGAAAGTGAATGTACGTGTGTGTATGTGTGTTAGTGTGAGAGAGTGTGAGCGAGTGTGAATGTGAATGTGAGTGTAAGTTTCAGCTTAAAGGCATGTTCATATGTATATGTATGTGCAAGTGTTAATGCAACTATTTCTCTGCCTCTTCAAGTTGGCTTCTTCTAGGTCTAGATTATATATGTATAACACACAATACAACGTGTAAATAACACTAAATAACACTGCTAAACAAAAATTAGAAATTGTATATTAACACAAGTAAACAATCTATGTATATAAAAAGCAATTTATGTGTGGTTGAACGTGAATTTTATTCTTGCTTTACCCTACATATTGCGAATCAATGACAATAGGTCCTATAGTAACCTGATAAAATTGATCTCGTTTTCAAAATAAATTTAATAAAATTTATTACCCACATTATGAATAATAAAATACAACGCAGATTTAAATTTTTCTTTATCACCATCATCAAAAATCAATATGATACTAAAAACAAAACAATGGAAGGATACGCTTTTTAGAAATTTGACCCTATATACGGTATATAAAAAATTAACGTCGACTGTAGTTTCACACCATTCAACCGATCGATATAAAACTTAATTAGAGAGAGTTAATTAGAACAATTAAGGGAAGGGTTCTGTAAAAAAAATCATTTTTACTTTCGCAAGGGCGGCGCCACGGGAGGGTGCGATTTTTCTCTATATACGATATAAAAAATTAAAAGTCGATTTTGGTTTGACACCGTTCATCGAAAAGGAAGGGTAATTTAAAAAAAAATCATTTTTAATTTCGCAAAGGCTGCGATTTTTCTCTATGTACGGTATATAAAAAGTCGATTTTGATTTGATACCGTTCATCTGAAAGCAATGAGACTTTGGTGAGTTGACTAGAACAGCCCCGGTGAAGTTTCTGTAAAAAATATTTCTTTTTGATTTCGCAAGGGCGGCGGAACGGGATGGTGGGATTTTTCTATATTTTCGGTATATAAAAATAAAAGACGTTTGCGGTTTGACACATTTTATCCAAGTACCATACATTTTTAGGGAGTTGATGAGTACTTTAGAAGGTTGCTGGGGTGGGAGGTGAGGTGTGGGTGGTAGGTGGAGGGGGGATTTAATTTTGCATGGGCGGCCCCGGCAGGATGCAATTTGGCGCGCTTGTATTTCCCGCAAGGGCGACTATGTTCGGTCTAAACAGTGTCTAAACTAAATTGAATAAGGAGTGTCTGCCGGCGCCCTGGTAGGGTGCGATTTGACTGCAAATACAAATTTCTGTTTTGGCCCCCTTAGGCTCACATGGGCAACTGAGGGCCATGTAATACGTTTTATTTTAATAATTGGAAAAATTAACCAAGTTTAGATTATTAACTGGGATGTTTCTTTTTGTCCTTAAAAACATCCAAACAGTTTCGCAACTTTGCGAATGATGCAATTAGCATCTATTTTTAGAAAATCCAATCAGAAATGCAGATCTAGCATCTAATAATAGACCATTAGTAACGCTAACATATTGCATCAGTCACACTGATGTTTAAAACACGTAAAGTAAGTTTTTACGTGTTAAAGAAAAAATCCTGCTAATTTGTGTCACTTTAGCGAATGACGAAATCTGCATCATTGTTAACAGGATGCTACTTGGCACTCTGGGTTATCCTATGAGCGCGATGGCTCCTGTCAGTTTTAAGGAGCCAGGGTACGTACGCTGCGCCTATGCGGTAGTGTATTCGGGTGGGGGCTTCATAGAGCGCCCCTTTACGTACCAGACACATGGACGGTGTTTTCATGCGGTAGTGTTGGTAGTGTAGGTAAACCCGTGTCCCGATATTTATGATCCAAGCGCAGGAATTGTTTACACTGAAATACCACACTTTTAGAAAACGAGGTCACGCGTCTAAAAATATAGGATTGGTAACGCATGGATAAAACCCTTCTTATATATTTCGTCGGATTGTGTTCTATTTCCGCGGCAACGCGCGGGGACGGGTACGCTAGTAATGAAATAAAAAATAATACAATGATCTACCACACATATAACGATGCTTAACACAACGTCCACAGCTACGCCCACATCCGCAGTACAATCAATTACTTTACACACTGGGACACGCTCTGACCCCCGTCAACTGACACACCTCACGCGAACACTTCTCGCTCAATGTAAACACACTCAAACAAGGGCTATAACTATACACAAAAAGAAGGGTACCTGTCGTTCGAGCACACAACACACAATCAGGGGACATGTAAGTGCTGTAACACTTCATACTTCTCTTTTACTTTGGTAGCAAAACGTAATTCAATAATATTATTGGGTGTGTCCGCTTTCTGAGCATAAAGGTGATTACCTTACATTAGTATGTGTAATCTTCAAACCCTGATGCAGGTGTTATTATTGTCATTTCGTAAGCTATTATTTGGCGAGTCGAACATTAGTGCTGGATAAAGATAATATATTTCATTACATTAATATCTTGGTGTATTTAAATTTGACTTTGTGACTTTTTTACTTTCTCGTACATACGAAGTATAGAGAAAGTCTTGTAATCGTGCAAAAAAAAATAGAGATTTTTACAAATCTCGACGTTTTACACCTCACTGATACGTAAAAACATAATTTTGCAATCTTGTCCGTATGTCTGTGTGTCTGTGTGTCTGTGTGTGTGTGTGTAAACACGATTACTTGAGTACCGTTACAGCTAGGTTGCTAAAATTTCATATAAAAGTATTTTATCAAAATCGTAGATACGTAACAACTTTTGAGCGATTTCCGATAACCGGAAGTGGTACTTTTTCTACTTTGAATTTTTCAAAAGCCTATAACTTGAGTACTATTTAGGATAGGTAAATGAAATTTAACATGTGAGTAAAAGATCTAATTCTCTACCTTCTGTCAAATTTTGAGTAATTTCCGTTGACCGGAAGTGCTAATTTACGCTATTTCCGATTTCTCAAAAAACGCTTATAAATTTATAAAGTACTAATAATATTGCGCACTATTATGCACATTTTTTTTGTGTTCGCTTGGTGCGCAATTTTTTTTTCTATGAGATTCTATTCTATTTTAAAAGTTTAAGTAATTAAAAATCTTGTCTATATTCCAAGTTATATAAGAATATTCGAGAAAGTTTAGGGGAGGTCACTCCCGGTTTATTTATAGTAGCTATTTTTTAAATAAAGCAATCTGTTGTGAAGAACTCGATGATGCTTAGATTACTGACGTTGTTTACAGACAATGTGCGGCTTACACAGCTTTGAAGTTCTAATTCCTGTTTTGTTGTGTTTGATTGTCTGCGTTTGAAAATAAGAAATAATTCATTAGAATAAGTATGTCAAACTTCCGTAAAAAACGGATTTTTCGCCTGCGTCGCCCAAATATAGTAGCTTTTCACTTCATAGTTTCGATAATAAAAGGGGCTCGTATAGTAATAGGCTTGTTACCATTAAAAAGTAGATCTTAAGCCCTCTAATTATGTGTAATTTTTATAGTTGTTGATATTGAACAATATATCTCATTTACCTATTGAAAACTATCACCGAGATGATTTTTCAACGGCAGTCGAGTAACGGATTTTGACCCCTCTCTCATTCAACTCGCGGATCTTTTTTGACTGTTCGACGTATTTCTTTACAAATACCTGTAAAATGTGCAGAATTGGATAGCCTTTAGTGGGATAATAAACCAAAAAAAATGCATAATAGACTAAATATTTTAAATGTTAAAAAAACTAAGAAATTTGAATATTATCATGTGATTCTATCATCATATAAATTTTTTATTAGTATTTTCAGAAATGTGGTCCTTTTTCTGTTAAAACACTTATTTTGTTTATAATTTCTGAGCATGGTCAAAAAAGGCCGAGCTCGACAAAACACACTATAGCGATCATTAAAATAGCTCTAGGCGTGGTCGAAGAAAATGGCCGCTTTCTTCATTAACAACGCACACCAGCAGTTTTAAATTGATGTTAGCAAGTCTTAGAGGCTTGATAGTACAGTAAAATAAATAAAAACATGTAGTTACTTAATAACAAGTTTGTGAGTCTAGTTTTTATACTTTATTTCTTCAGTATATTTTTATTATTACAGCTATAACGCCGTTCAAAGATTAGACTTCCACGTAATTTTTCAGCTTCGCCCGATGAGCTAAACCCCACTTCACTTTGTATTGGAGAGTAATTTTTCTGATTGATTAGTTCAAATATTTTTGTCTTTTCTGACAGAGGGTACTTTGAAAATTAATTACAAACTATTTTAAAAATCTTTTTAGAATAGCTGAAACATTTTTTTCTGTTAAATATAAAAGGTCACGTGATCGTACACTTCGTCACCAGTGTCAACAATGTATTGGTATAGTTTGAAGTAGAAAACCCCGCAAATTTGATGCATGTGTTGGGTTTTAGCGATGATTTTAAACTAAATAGTACATGAATTGTAGCTTGAAATACTTTACATTACCAAAGAAATCGATTTTTAGTGTGTTCTTTTATTTCAATTTTAACTATATGTTATGTTAATGCCTCAAAAACTTACCAGGAATGGGTTGGGGGGAGCAAAATATTTAGTACAGTTGTAACAATGTCAATGTATATTAATGATCAGTGCACGAGTGCAGATACATTTACACTTTGCAGTCAGCTATGAAATAAACCCTTATTAGATTCCTTTAAAAGAATATAGCTCTTGACTACGAAAAAAAACCATTATTACGTTCTGTAAATTATGTTGACCGTTTATGGTGACTATTTTGGCTATTGATTACATATTTTCAGGTTAGAGTTGTCACTTTTTGTCACAAAAAGCCAGACCCAATATTCAAAAAGACGTGACACCTTAGACGTTTTTGTCTTTTAAAAACACTGATTTCGGTGGAGATTGGGTCTCACAACCCAATCTCTTCATATGCTGAGGTCACAAAAACAAGTCAACTCTATTTTACCTGCCCAGTTTACAACCAACTCAGACATGTTTTGTCTTTGAAAACACAGATTTCGGCTGAGAATGGGTCTGACCACACTATCTCTTCATGTGCTGATATGACAGGTGAACTTTACACCTACCCAACTCAACTTCACCTGCCCTGTATCCCACCAAGTTCAGATAGTCATCCTAATTATTCACATCTAAAAAAAAAATAAACCGGGAGTGATCTCCCCAAAACTTTATCGAATATTCTTATATAACTTCGAATATAGACATGATTTTTAATTACTTTAACTTTTAAAAATAGAATAGAATCTCATAGAAAAAAGAATTGCGCACCAAGCGAACGCCAAAACAAAATGTGCATAATAGTGCGCAATATTATTAGTATTTTATAAACTCACTTGCGTTTTTTTTTTAGAAATCGGAAATAGCGTAAATTAGTACTTCAGTTAACAAAACTCAAAATTTATTTTTAAAAAAAGGTAGAGAATTAGATCTTTTACTCACATGTGAAATTTCATTCATGTATCTCAAATAGTACTCAAGTTATAGGCTTTTGAAAAATTCAAAGTAGAAAAAGTACCACTTCCGGTTATCGGAAATGGCTCAAAAGTTGATACGGATCTACGATTTTGATAAAATATTTATATATCAAATTTCATCAACTTAGCTGTAACGGTACTCAAGTTATCGTGTTTACACACAGACAGACACACAGACAGACACACAGACAGAAACACAGACAGACACTAAGACATACGGACAATATTGCAAAATTATGTTTTTCCGTATCAGTGAGGTGTAAAACGTCTAGATTTGTAAAAATCTCGATTTTTTTTTTGCACGATTACAAGACTTTCTCTATACTTCGTATATACGAGAAAGTAAAAAAAACTTGAAAAAAAAATTAACATTATCTGTCTAGAACCAGTGCTACCCGAATAGAAGCCTATTACACTAACACCTTAGCTATCTAGGCTCGTGACGTCAATAACGTTTTATTGTGCTCTATATTAATATTTTGAGTCTGCTTAAGGAACTTGATTTACGCTAAAAGGCCCTAGATCTATATCTTTCAAATTAAATTTTATCTTAAATTAGCAAATGAAATAGCTAAACTAACAAAGATTTATATAAAATAATGAAGGCCTTATTATCTACATCTAGATAGAATTATCCAGATTATACGACTGATTTGGTTAAGTCGGCTTTTCGCCGTAACTCTTGCTAGATCTAGATCTACATCTAGATCTAGAACCTAGATATATATATAAATCCCTTGTTTCTTGAATTAGATGATCCTTGAAGCTAAAAAGCAAACATTTATATAAAATATTTAAGGACTAAATAAGTTTAATAAAGAAACTCAATAATTTTATGTGTTTTTATATTGATTTTATTTTTATAAATTAATTTTGGTTTGACCTAGATCTAGATTCTAGATCTACAACTTTTTCTTCCTTTGACAGATTATCTGTAGATCTAGAGAAATTTATTGTATACTAAAATAAAAAGCACTGTTAAAAAATTGATAATAGTGTTGAAACCAAATAAAAATAGCAAATGGACGCATAGTAAAAGCTATAGCCGACAAAAAATTAGCTTTACAATGCGTTAAACTTTTGAATAGGCAACACAATCTTTGATGGAAGCCGCCATTGTTGTTGTAAAAAGTAAATAAATCATGTGACGTCACTATAAGTAAAGTCTTTGTTCTTAACATTTATAATTAATGTGGTTAACCTACCAAGGAATAAATCAATCAATTAATTAACGTCTTTAAATAAATGTGTGATTAACAATCTGTTTAAAAAAGAAAATGTCTTTATACCTAAATACCTAAATACCATTTTACAGCTCTACACATAGTGCAGATTCTCTCCTGTAACCAAAAGGACATACAAAAAACAAACAAACAAATACATTTTAAAACATGTAAACAAACTTGAGTTTTAGTAGTATATAGATAGATAGATAGTCTCGACAGCACATGTGGGGTTTGTTGTATATGCTACGCTTGATTTAACTTCGGTGTTAGAACTTGTAGTTGGTGTTGTAAAAGTGAAGCCAACACTAGGGGCACACTTCACAATGGAAGAGCAGCTAAGGATGTTTACATTGTTGGAATTACCTATAATATTCACTGATTGTTCGGACACCCACTTGACTTGCATAGACCGACCACTACACTGGCTGGATGTAAAATTAAAATATCCGCAGCTGTCGCAAGATGGCTGTTCGCGTATGCAGGTCAATACGGTTGTATAACTGTTAAGAACCAGGTCCTCAATTATACAAATAAAACTCATTAGAAGAGCTG